AAGAATCTGGCTAACAATAAATACAGAAATCTGTGGAAATCTTTGCTAAAACCGTGTATAATTGTTGTTAGCTACGGTTAGAACTGGGCTCCCTTTAGCTTTGTATGCTAACACATAACTGTCCTCTTGATCTACTCTGGTTTGTTCTCAGGCTTCCAACTAAAGAATCAAGCTAGCGTGCATCAGGACAAAAAAGGGGGCTATCCGAGTGATAAAAACCCACCTGTTTGTTCATGAATATGTATATGAAGGGGTTGACGACGGTGGAGAACTTGGCTAGCAGCGACGGCGTGATGCTAGCCTCCGGGGTTAGCAGGTCGCGCGGGCCGAAGGCGGCCAATAGGGCGGCGACACCGTAGGGCAGCCAGCACACCAGGTAGCACGCCACCATGGTGACCACCATCACCAGCACGCGCTGCTCTCTGCGCCGGGTCACCACCGAACTCATCCGCCGCACCTGGGGAAGAGAAGAGCTTCTGTGAGAGACAGGTTTTTATTTTATACGCAATCCGGACGCCCGATTGTAGAATTAAACCTGGTCGGATGTGTATCCAATCCAATAAAAGCAATAAAATAAAATAAAATAGAAATAAAATAGAATAGAATATGTCAAATAAAAAATAATCAATCAAATGAATTAAATAAATAAAATAAGTAAAATAAATAAAATAAATAAGTAAAATAAATAAAATAAATAAGTAAAATAAATAAAATAAATAAGTAAAATAAATAAAATAAGTAAAATGGCTACTGGCAAGCCAGAGTCTTCTTTTATACTCAATCCGGACGCCCGATTGTAGAATTAAACCTGATCGGATGTGTATCCAATCCAATAAAAGCAATAAAATAAAATAAAATAGAAATAAAATAGAATAGAATATGTAAGATAAAAAATAATCAATCAAATGAATTAAATAAATAAAATAAGTAAAATAAATAAAATAAATAAGTCAAATAAATAAAATAAGTAAAATGGCTACCGGCAAGTCAGAGTCTTCTTTTATACTCAAACCTGACGCCCGATTGTAGAATTAAACCTGATCGGGATGTCAGTCCAATCCACTTTACACAATAGTACAGCAAGAAAAGATGAGGTACACAGTAAAAAATAAAAGCAATAAAATAAAATAAAATAAAATAGAAATAAAATAGAATAAAATAGAATAAAATATGTAAAATAAATAAAATAGTCAAATGAATTAAATAAATAAAATAAGTAAAATAAACTGAATAAATAAAATAAATAAAATAAGTCAAATGAATTGAATAAATAAAATAAGTTAAATAAATAAATAAATAGATCAAATAAGATAAATATAAATAAGTAAAATAAATAAAATAAGTAAAATAAATTAAATAAATAAAAAAGTAAAATATATTAAATAAATAAAATAAATAAAAGCAGTGCCCGCAGAAGATAAAAATATGCATGTATGTACATAAAATCAACGCTCTACATGTTGTCAAAAGCCAAATAAAAGAGGTGGGTTTTAAGAAGAGTTTTGAAATGAGAAAGAGAGGGGGCCTGTCTAATGTGTAGGCGGACCTGAGGAAGAAGAAGACCTTTTGTGAGAATGGCTACTGGAAAGCAAGAGTCTTCTTTTATACTCAATCCTGACGCCCGATTGTAGAATTAAACCTGATTGGATGTGTATCCAATCCAATCCAATCCACTTTTTTTATATAGATAAATATATATTTATAAATAAATATATATGTATATATATACATATATAAATGTATAAAGATATACAGAATAAATAGATAACACAACACAAGTACAGCAAGAAAAGATGAGGTACACAGTAAAAAATAAAAGCAATTAAATAAACCTAAATAGAAATAAAATAGAATGAAATAGAATAAAATAGAATAAAATAGAATAAAATATGTAAAATAAATAAAATAAGTAAAATAAATTAAATAAGTAAAATAAATAAAATAAATTAGATAAGTGAAATAAATAAAATAAATTAAATAAATTAAATAAATAAAATAAATAAAATAAATTAAATAAATTAAATAAATTAAATAAATTAAATAAATAAAAATAAATAAAAGCACTGCCCGCACAGGGTTTGCTCCACATGGAAAGTGGTCAATAAAAAATGTAATAAATTCAAAACAAAATTCAGGCATTTTTGATGAAAACATTGATTTCTGACGGCAAATTGACTAAATTTCTTGAATTTTAAGCACAATTTTCAACCTTGAAATATGGACACTAAACCCATTCAGTCTTAAACTTTAATTGTTTTGTATTATTGATATTATTTAAGAGTCTGAGGCGCCATTTCAGACGTTTTCAGAGGAGAGTTGGAGCTTTAGAGATGGGAATGTCCTTTTAAACGTAATCAAAAGTGCCTGAGACTCTCCTCCTCTGTTTACTCCTGATTTTAAAATGATATAGCAGAGTTTATAAATATTTACGAGCATCTGAATGCAAAATTGATGCCTGCAGAGAAGGTGCTCGGCTCGAAATGTCAGTTCAGCTCCTGCAGATCTCGGAAAGGAGAATTTTATTATATTATTTCATAGATTTCCCTCTGGATCTATCAATAGATTAGTGATTAGATTATTTCATTTTCCTGGTTTTATGTTTTTAGCTAATTCAACTATGTGACTAAATCTCATTGGTAATCAGAGCTGTTTATCTCAAGGATGGATATCCAACTCCGCCCACATCCAAGTCGGCCATTTTGATTAGGTCACCAATAGGAAGATCCCAGGCAAGAAAATCCTAATTGCTTCATGGCAATATAGACATTAATTTAAAAATAATGAAATGAATCTTGCAAACTCTGAATTAAACTCTATCCATAATATTATGTAAAAATAGTGGATGTTAAATAGGTTTGTACAATAAGTCCAAACAAGTTTAACCAAAAATATTTTCTCACAATTATGAAGGGTTAGGGTTAGGGTCAGGGTTAAGGTTAGGGTCAGGGTTAGGTTTACAGACTTAGACCCTTAAAATTGGGGCTATATTGTCCTAATCTTTGGAGCTGATCAACAGGAGTCAGTCCATTCCAACAGGTCTGTGTTAGGGTTAAGGTTAGGGTTAGGGTTAGGGTTAGGATTAAGGTTAGGGTCAGGGTCAGGTTCAGATTCAGGGTTAGGGTTAGGGTCAGGGTCAAGGTTAGGGTTGGAGTTAGGGTTAGGATCAGGGTTAGGGTCAGGGTTAGGGTTAGGGTTAGGGTTAGGGTTAGGATTGATCAACAGGAGTCAGTACCTTCCCAACAGGCCTGTGTTAGGGTTAGGGTCAGGGTTAGGGTTAGGATTAGGGTTATGGTCAGGGTTAGGATCAGCGTTAGCATTAGGATTAGGGTTAGGGTTAAGATTAGTATTAAGGTCAGGGATAGGGTTAGGGTCAGGGATAGGGTTAGGATCAGGGTCAGGGTTAGGGTTACGATTAGGGTTATGGTCAGGGTTAGGATCAGGGTTAGCATTAGGATTACGGTTAGGGTTAGGATTAGTGTTAAGGTCAGGGATAGGGTTAGGGTCAGGGTCTGGGTTAGGGTTAGGGTTAGGGTCAGGGTTAGGGTTAGGGTCAGGGTTGATCAACAGGACTCAGTCCCTTCCCAACAGGTTAGGGTTAGGGTGAGACAGAGAGGTGGCCTAACCTTAACCCTAACCCTAACCTTAACCCTAACCCTAACCCTAACCCTAACCCTAACCTTAACCCTAACCCTAACCCACCCCAAACGCACAAATTGTGAGTCTGTTCTCCTCTCCAGGCACCCTAACCCTAACCCTAACCCAGAGGCAGATTCCTGTCCAATCATCTCCTCTTTTTTCACTAGAAAACGCTCTAAATGGGATAAAAGACATTTTAAAAAATGGCCGGTATGGTTTTTTTTGTTTTTTTTGGGTTTCCCGGCAGAGGAAAGTGTTGTGTTTCCTCATTAAATATTCAGAGACAACAGCCAATAACAGCAAGGTCAACCTCCAGACATGGGGGGGGGGCAAAAAACAGAAAATAAATCTAATTTTATTAGGTATTTGTTGAATGATTTAATTTAAAATAAGGACTTTTAATTAAGGTTAAATAATAAATAGTTAATTCAGTAAAATGACAACACGTTCTTTCTGACCAGTCTGAGTTTATTTATCCATCTATCCATCTTTTCTTATATTTATCCATCCATCCGTCTATCCATCTTTTCCTCTTTATATCCATCAATCCATCTTTTCCTTTATTTATCCATCTTTTCCTCTATTTATCCATCTATCCATCTTTTCTTATATTTATCCATCTTTTCCTTTAACTATCCATCTTTTCCTTTATTTATCCATCCATCCATCTTTCCCCCTATCTATCCATCTTTTCCTCTATTTATCCATCCACCCATCTATCCATCTTTTCCTCTATTTATCCATCCATCCATCTATCCATCTTTTCCTCCTTATATCCATCCATCCATCCATCCATCCATCCATCATTCTTTTCCTCTTTCTATCCATCTATCATCTTTTCTTCTATGTATCCATCTTTTCCTTTATTTATCCATCCATCCATCCATCCATCATTCTTTTCCTCTTTATATCCATCTATCATCTTTTCTTCTATGTATCAATCTTTTCCTTTATTTATCCATCCATCCATTTTTCCATTTTTTCCTCTTTATATCCATCTATCCATCTTTTCTTCTATTTATCCAACTATTCAGTTATTTATCCATCTTTTCCTTTATTTATCCATCTATCCATATTTCCCCCATATATCCATCTTTTCCTCTATTTATCCATCTTTTCCTCTATTTATCCATCCATCCATCCATCCATCCATCCATCTTATCCTCTTTATATCCATCGATCCATCTTTTCTTCTATTTATCCATCTTTTTCTTTATTTATCTATCTTTTCCTTTATTCATCCATCTATCCATCTTTTCTTCTAATTATCCATCATTTTCTCTATTTATCCATCTTTTCCTTTTCCATCTTCTTTTATCCATCCATCTATTCATCAATCCATTTCTCTCTCTCTCAAATCGTCTTTAATTTAAATAAAAATCCCTAAATATTCAGTATTTTGTAACTATTGGAATGAATGATGTCATTTCTCTCCCTTTTCTACCAAAAAATGTCTTTAACTTGAATAAAAATGACTCATTTAGTTGTTAACTGTTAGAATAAATCCCACTCATCGGTTTTTCTCACTTCCTGAATTTTACCTGAACAGAAATCTGACGGTGGAAGTGAGACTTTTCACAACTTTTTTGCTATTTTTTTTTTTCTTAGACAAGAAAAAGCCTTGAAAAATATCAGATTTTGCTCGGTTTCTTTCTCTCTTTGTGTTGATTCTCTTGTTTCTGTTCTCATGCTCTTCGGCCGGAGCTGTTTGTTTTTCATTTGTTCCATTTTTGGTTAAATTTCCATTTTTTTGCATCTTAGTGTTTCATATTTACATATGGAATATGAAGCCTTCATTTTAGAGTCTCCTGT